AGAAAGAAAGAAAGAAAAGAAAGAAAGAAAGAAAGAAAGAAAGAAAGAAAGAAAGAAAGAAAGAAAGAAAAAGAAAATGAGTTGGTGGAGCACCTGGCTGTCTCATTGGTGGAGCCTCTGACTCAACCTCAGGGTTGTGAGTTCAAGCCTCATATTGGGTATAGAGTTTACTTTAAAACAAAACAAAACAAAAACCAAAGAATGCATGGGTGACCTCTAAGCTTCTTTTAAGGTTTTTCATGTTCTCTGTTCTCTTTATCTCTGTTGTATATAGTTTCTTAAATCCAGGTGACTGACCTGTGTATCAGATAATAAGGTTTCATTTTCTGGGTTGTTTCTCAATAAATGTAATCCTGAGATCAGAGGACAGTTATTGACTCCAATACAGTGCTTTCAGCCTTCCTCTCCCATGCCCTGTTAGTAGGCCATGGCAGCCATCACTTGTTGACCTGGTCAGAGCAAATGCCTTTAATTCCCCCAATTCTCAAGAGCTAAAGAGCTGTCAGCCTTCCCAGGTAGAGAGCCTAATTGTATGTAAGAGATGAGGATAAGTTTAATGAGAACAGGGATTTCTTTTTTTTTTGTTCACTGATACACCCCTAGGGCCTAGAGCATGATCAGTGCTCAATAAGTATGTACTGATGAAAAAATTGGTGAAAGATATAGGACAGTCCATTTATTGAGCAAGTTCACAGTTGAACGTGGGAGAGACTAATCAACTGTTAAAATCCAGAGTAAATAATTCTTTTTTTAAAAAAAATTTTATTTATTTATGATAGTCACAGAGAGAGAGAGAGAGAGGCAGAGACATAGGCAGAGGGAGAAGCAGGCTCCATGCACCGGGAGCCCGATGTGGGATTCGATCCCGGGTCTCCAGGATCGCGCCCTGGGCCAAAGGCAGGCGCCAAACCGCTGTGCCACCCAGGGATCCCAGAGTAAATAATTCTGCAGGTTTGTTGGGAAAATGGTTGGTAAAGTGACTGAGTTCTATGGTTTGAGAAATCAGCCAGCCAGAGAGAAGGCCACTGGTGCAAGAGACCCAGTGTGCACAGCTGTGCAGAAGTGCGCAGAGAGCGCTGTGGCCTGGGCTGTTGATGGGAGGTCTTGGCTAATGAATCTGGGAAGGTAGGTAAGTGCAAAATCCTGAGCTCTTATATGCTCTGCTGGAGCCTTTTCTTCTGAAGAGTTGTGGAAGGCTGTTCCTAAGGACCAAAATCACATTCCCATTTAATTTTAATTTCAATTTTTAAAAATATTTATTCATTAGAGAGTGTGTGGGTGCACACGCCCAAGTTGGGGGTAGTGGCAGAGGAAGAGGGAGAAGCAGATTGCTCGCTGAGCAGGGAGCCCGAGGCAGGGCTCTATCCCAGGGCTTCAGGATCTTGATCTGAGGTGAAGGCAGATGCTTCACAACTTAGCCACCCAGGCACCTCTAATGTTTGGATTTTAAAACTGCATACTGATTTGATCAGGGGCAAGTGGGAGTGATCTTACTTTCTATGAATCCCCTGGTTGCAGCTACTGAACTTGGAACAAGACTTTTAACTCCTTCATTGCTCACTTCATTCGTGTCTTAGGATGCCTTTGATAACACGTAAAAGAAAGGCCAGCCCTGACTGGCTTGCACCATACACAAGAGATGAGTAGTGGCTCATGGAACTAGAAATCCCAGAAGGAGGCCAGGCTTTAGGGATGGTCTGCTGAATTAGTGTCTTTGAGGACCTGGTTTCTTCTCACTTGTGTTGTGTCAGCATTTTCCTAAGGCTGGTTCTCCTCCAAATGACACAACGGTCACAGCAGTTGCAGGCTTCACAGTAGTGTCCAGCCTGCACCATGTCAACCAGAACAAGAGAGTGTGTGTATGTTCCAGAGTTTTTGTGTCTTGGGGTTAGTGCCCTTTGGATCCACCCTTGAACCAAACACTGGGGGCAGGGGTGGGTGGCATGCCAGATCGGGCTCCTCTTTGGAGCTGGGAGTGGGTGTGTGTCAGTTTTCTGAGCTGGGTAACCACTCACCAACAGGGGAGGAGGAAAATGAACTTTTAGAGGATGGCTGGAGAGTCCTTTACAGTCCCATCCGGGAGCATCATTCTTTCCCACTCTCCTTTTCCAGGTTTGTCAGTTCCTCCTCTTCCTGGACTTCTGTGACTTTTTTCTTGGCAAGTCATCCTGTACAGTCTAATGGCATTCTACTGTATTTCAGTCTTCCTTTAATTTTATTGTGCTGTAACTGTTTAGGTAAATATCAATATATATTTACCAGATTCTAAGTATTGTGCTTAAGCACTTAAGTGGTTAGGATCCAGAACTTGAAAGACATAAGGAGATCACAGTTTATTTACAGAGACATAGAGGTGAATGAGCAATTACCATGAGATGTGATGTTCCTTTGACAGAAATAAGGAGTTGGGAATACTTCCCTGAGGAGGTGTTGCCTGTGTTGACCCTTGACAGGCAAGCAGTAGTCACAGCAGTGGGGGAAGAGGAAGCTGCTTGCGTGAAGGCATCAGGCCAGGAGAATAACTGGGGTTTTAGATGCACAACAAGATGAGGCTAGATTGTTTGGGCAAGGATGGCCATTATACCAGGCTAAAGAGTTTAGATTCCATCTCTATATACTGTACAATTAGAAATTGACCATACATCCTGGTTTTACACCTGTCGTTCCAGAATAATTAATGTGATTTTTAACAAATATTTTATTTATTTATTCACAAGAGATACACAGAGAGAGGTAGACACATAGGCAGAGGGAGAATCAGGCTCCATCCAGGAAGCCTGATGTGGGACTCAGTCCCAGTACTCTGGGATCACGTCCTGAGCCAAAGGCAGACGCTCAACCGCTGAGCCACCAGGCATCCCAGTTAATGTGATTGTTTTACTTGAACTGTGCCTCCAGTTTGGATGATAAATGGTCACCTGACTTAAAGCAGTTGTTCAGAGCCATGTGATAGCAATGTACAGGATGCAGTACTTACCTGGGATTACATGAAATATAGCATACTTCTCAAACCTAAATTACAGAAAGAATCAGCTGGGGATCTTTTTGATGGCACATTTAGCTGCAGTAGGTCTGGGGTGGGGGTTGAGAGCTGCATAAGCCCTTGAGTGGTGCCATTGCTGCTGGCCTGGGGATCACCCTTTGAGTAGGAGGGTAGTATAGGACATTAGGAGTGTCAGAGGGTCTCTGAGGTCCTTAGAATCATACGCCAAAATGTGGGTGTGTGCCTTCTTCAGGCTGTGGACCTAATTTGCTTACATCAGATTCTCAGGGAATCTGCTACCACCCTAAAACAGAACTCACTGCCTTTTAGAAATAATGTAATGATGAAATGACATCTATATATTAGATGTCTTTAATGAAGTGCCTACCTCGTGAGAGTAATTCAGAATGCATTCTTCCCTCCCTCCCACTTCTCCCCTGGCCAAGTTCTTTGAGGCAGGAAATGTTGCTTAAACATTTAAAACAACTTTTTAATATTTATTATACTATTAGCATTCAAGAGACATCTATTTGGTTTGGTGACGAACTCTTTTAGGACCGTTAGCCATTCTGACAGCATTTGAGGGTCCTCTTATGTGTCAAGTATTTTATTAGGTATTTAGAGGTTGCCGTTTACTCTTGCAGATAGCCAGGCTTGGAGGGAGGGTCATCAGGGCTTAGGGTGGATAGTAAAAGAAAACGGCAGGATTGAGGGTGGCTCAGTCAGTAAAGCATCTGCCTTCAGGTCAAGTCATGGTCCTGGGGTCCTGGGATCAAGCCCTGCATTGGACTCCCTGCTCTGTGGGGAGTCTGCTTCTCCCTCTCCTTCTGCTACTCCCCCTGCTTGTAAACTGTCGTGCTCTCTCTGTCAAATAAATAGATAAAATCTTAAAAAAAAAAGAGAAACAGCAGGATTGAAAAGATGAATCTATTTTTATAATAATATTATTGAGATATAATGTATGTTCAAAAAGTTCTCTTGTGTTTGATTCATTGAGATACTGTTCTCTGCGACTCAGTCGTGTGGGATGTCAGTAGGCATCAATCAATTAGAATGCTTCTTTCACTTTATGTAGTTGCCATGTTTTTGCCAAATAGAGCTTTCTGAACATTTGATATTTTGTTGATGTGTCCCAGAAATTTGGGATGGAAACCGTACGTAATTTAAGATAATCTTCAAAGTTTCTCATCTAGGAGGTTGGCAGAACAATGAAGTGTGTTTTTTGGCATAAGCATAGAAGCTGGTTTTGAGAAAATAATGGACCTTTTGAGTTTAAGGTTAAACAAGAATATAAGAGTGAAAGTATTGTGGGGTTAGCAGCCTGAAAAATGGAGCTGGAATATGATTGAAAAATTCACATTGAAGATGTGAATTTGGACTTCAAAACAGTTGAAGCTGAGAGAACAGGAGAGCTTCTTGTGGGGGATATTGACGGGCCACCCCAAAGGAGAGGAGGAAGGGGTTTGAAGCAGAGTCCAGTCTTGCAGGGTGCAGGATCCACTGACAGAAAACGTGTGTGTGAGAGAGCTCTTGATTTTAACAGATTGATGGTTGATCTAGCTGGATGTATAAAAGGATGCTGGATTGGATGGGAGGTTATTTCTGAAAAAGTGTTGGAGGTGAGTGTTAGATTTCGGTTAGTTTAGAGCAAATGGGAAATGAGCTCAGTTATAAAGAATTGTTTTTTGTGGAAAAGACATGTCTAAAAAGTTGCATGGGGGCTGCTCCTGGGTGGGTCAGTTGGTTGAGCATTCATCTCTTGGTTTCAGTTCAGGTCTTGATCTCGGGTTCTTGAGATCAAGCCCCACGTAGGGCTCTGCACTTGACAAGGAGTCTGCTTGATTCTTCCCCTTCCCTTACCCTGATCAGGTGTGCACTTGTGTGCGCGCATGCTCTCGCTCTCTCTCTCTCTCAGATAAATAAATAAAAATCTTTAGGAAGTTGCATGGGAGTGGAATTTTTTTACCAAATTATTTCCAGTTGCATGATAGTTTTCTTCTGATTGACATTTAGCTTTGTTACCTTTAAGTTGTCTGTGATTAGTAAGCCTTTATAAGCACTAAAAGAGTCCCCATTTTATTATTTAATTTATTAATTAGCAATAATTGCGCCTCGGATAAACCTCATTGGCTATGATACTGCCACTGCGCAAAGCTTACTTAATTTTAAAAAATATTTTGTGTGAGAGAGCACGAGCGGGGAGGTGGGCAGAGGGAGAGAGAGAAGCATACTCTCCTGAGCAGGGAGCCTGATGCAGGCCTCCATCCCAGGACCCTGGGATCATGACCTGAGCAGAAGGGAGACGCTTAACCTACTAAGCCCTCGAGGCTCCCCAAGAGTTCCCACTTTAAAAATATCTGCCCTGAATGTTGTTCATCAAGCAGTAGGTCCTTTTATAAAGTGAATAATAGGGATCCCTGGGTGGCGCAGCGGTTTTGCGCCTGCCTTTGGCCCAGGGCGCGATCCTGGAGACCTGGGATCGAATCCCACGTCGGGCTCCCGGTGCATGGAGCCTGCTTCTCCTTCTGCCTGTGTCTCTGCCTCTCTCTCTCTCTGTGTGTGACTATCATAAATAAATAAAAATTTAAAAAATTAAAAAAAAAATAAAGTGAATAATAGTCTCAAATGGTTTCATAGTTGCTTCTGTCTGGCTTGGGAGCAGAACTGAGTACGAAGCAGTTCTGTTCACCTATCCTCCTGTTTGCTTTTCTCTCCCACCTCTCGATTGCCTATAGTGGTAGAGCTTTTTCTTAGGTCAAGGGAATACCCCTACACAGTGATTCTGAACCCTAAGTGCTCATCAGAATTACACAGGAAGCATTTAAAATGTTGCCTGAAGCCTTGGGATCCCCTTACCCCCATGAACCCTGAAAATTTTTAGGTATAGCCTGAGGATCCTCAGGTGGTTCTAGGGGTAGCAGGGGCTGAGAGCCACTGCCATAGGCCATTAACCTGCCTCACTGACTCTGCTTCCCTGTTAGATGAGCCCCACCAGTGGTTGGTTTTCTGCTTCTGTATGGAGAACAGAGTATTGTGAGCTCATTGGGTGAAATACCTCTTTTCCAGGATACTCAAGTTTCAAGCTGCACATATTTACAACAAGGGGGACTTGCTGAAGCCTCAAGTTTAGTTTTCTCTAATAAAAGATCTTTAGGGGCTGCTGGGTGGCTTGTTCAGTTAAGTGTCCAGCTCTTGGTTTTGGCTCAGGTCGTGATTCCAGGGTCATGAGATCAAGCCGCACTTTGGGCACTATGCTCAGTGCAGTCTGCTTGCGATTTTTTTCTTCCACTCCCACTCATATGTGCTCTGTCTCTCTCTCAAATAAATAAATCTTTTAAAAAAGATTTTAAATCATAACATGAACTTAAATACATAATTCGGTCTGTTGTTTCGGTTGGTAAAGTAAACCATTTCTGCATAGTTGCAATCTTGTTTTCAGCAGATCATTAGGTGGAAGTAAAGCCGAAAAAGCAAGCAGTGGACTCAGCTGGCCTTAGCTGTCGGCACCTATTCTTGTGTTCTTGTATTTTCAGCAGATCATAATTTAGCAGCTTTTACTGCTTAGACCAACTCTTCTAAGTAACTTGGTTGTCATTAACACAGCCAAAACAACTCATTAAGGGGAGCATTCTGTATTTCCTCCCTCTGGATGTATGGGATACAGGGGGATACGTTAGGCAGTCCTAGATCTTACAAAATGCTTAAGAAACCATTGGCAATGGCTAGCAAATTAGAAGAAAATCATTTATGTAGTAACACTACTTTTTCCCAAATGTGTTTAAACTTGAAGCTCTGGTTTAGTGATGTACTTTCCTTTCTGGCAGGTGGCCTTCAGTAGCCGAGCTTCTGTTGGTTTAGTTCCAGCATATTTCATTAAGTAAAAAAATCCTGTAGAACAGATGCACTTACAAGTTTCTGCCCATGTAGCACTCTGTTTAATGAAACACTCCAGGTTTGACTCAGTGTTATTGGCAGTAATTGTCTGTGTATGGTGTGGGGTTTGAGTAGGTGGCTGGGGGATCTAGGCAGTAGAACGGCCAAGCCAGACCAGAACAATCTGAGGTATAGTGATGGAGGAACTACAAGAGTGGGCAGCAAAATACAGATGTCCTGAACCAAATCATGGGTGATGGTATATTCTCCCAGTAAGAGTCTTTGGACCAAGGAACATGAAATCTTTAAAAAAAATCCTGATGTGTGGATGTTTACAAAAGGAGTGATTAAGAATTCTGCTTATGTAAGTGAAAGATTTAATACTGTGGTCCCTGGTCTTCAGGAGCTGCTTTTATAGTACAGCTGCCTTATCCTCCTTAGTTGTAGATGTGCGCTGATTGTGCATTGATTTTAAAAAATCATTTTGAGGTGTAGTTTAATACAATAAGTGTACTCATTTTAAGTTTTCAGTTTGAGTTTTGATAAACACCTGTCGAGGGAACTACCAGCACAAACTGTTGCCCAGAAAGCTCCCTCGTGCCCCCTGCCAGGAGTCTTCACCCTGTCTGAGGGTGAACCGAGGCATTACTGATCTGCTTCCTGTCAGTCGAGGCTATTCTCCTTTTCTAGAATTTTATTTAGGTGCAGTTATACGGGGTGTACTCTTCTCTCACTCTGCATAACATTTTGAGATTCATCCATCCTGAAAGAATTCTCTCCCTTTTGTTACGGAGTAGTATTTCATTATATGGGTGTGCCAAGTTCTCTCTTTAGCTCTTGACGAATGTTTGCTGTTTGGGTGTTTGTGAGATTGAAGCTGTGGTCTTCAGTCACATGCAAGTCTTTGATGGACATGGTTTTTCACTTCATGTGGGTTAATAACTACCTGGAAGTGGAATTGTTAGGTCATGTGGTGTGTGTTTTATTTTATAGAAAACTACCAAGTTTCTTCAAAGTGGCTATGTTGTTTGACACCTGCATCAGCAATCATGAGAACGCCCCTTCCTCTGTATCTTCACCAGCACTTGGTGTTTATCAGTCTTGGTAATTTTATTGTGCATCAATTTTAAAAGGGAAGAATTTTTTGTCCACATTTATGACAGAAAAGGGAAACTGCAGATAGGTCGTTCTCAGTGAAATACATTTTTTTTCTTAAAGTTTAAGCCAGAAAGAGAGAGGGACAGTGAAGACTGAGAGTGCCCTCTTCACACTGGACACAGGTGATTTATTTGGTAGGCAAGGATAGTAATACTACCCTAATCCTTTCTGATCACGTCCATGGTGTGTTTTGGTGTATTTTACCCTTTTCTTTTTCCTTCTGGATTTAAAATGGGAACATTCATTTTTCTTTAGTTGGAGAGGCCACATGATAATTGTGAATGATTTTCCTCTAGGTTAAAATATATGCCTTCAAAAAAAAAAGATTTATTCATTTATTCATCAGAGACAGAGACAGAGAGAGGCAGAGACAGAGACATAAGCAGAGGAGAAGCAGGGTCCCTATAGGGAGCCTGATGGGGGACTCAATCCCTGGATCACACCCTGAGCCAAAGGCAGACGCCCAACCCCTGCGCCACCCAGGGGTCCCAAAATACATGCTCTTAATAAGTTTTCTCTAAAGCTTAATTCAGATTGTTTTGGTTGTTTAAATGTTGTATTTTTTTTAAATGTTGTATTTTAAAATTAAAAGTTACACCTTGGTTATATTTAAAAGTGAAAATTGCACTTCTGGGTGGAGCATCTCTGATGATCTTAAAAACGGGAGAATAAAAACCAGTCAGAGCAGCCAAGGTGATGTGTCAGCACTGACATGTGGGAAGTTCCCTGATGTGGAGGATGGAGAGGCTCTCATTCTTTATCCCTAGAATTTACATTTGTGATAGGGTTTTCCCTTTATCTTCCTCTTCCTTTTGGTTCAACAAAACTTTTTTGAGCACCTGCTATTGTGCCAAGTACTGCATTAACTGCTGGCGATACAAAGATGAATTTAACTTGGTTTTGTTCTTTTAAAAAAGACCTTTATGGGGGCATAATATATGTGCACTGAATTTCACCCTTTTAAAGTATATATGATGAATCTTGACAAATGTACGCATTTGTGTAATCACCTCCATAGGTAATATACCTTTCAGCCCTTCCTGTGGTTCTCAGAACATCCCCATATGTCTCCTGCAGCCTGTCCTCTTATTCACCCTTGGCCCCAGCAAAAGTAGAGCTACTGTTAATTTTTTGTTTATTGGAGTTCTGCGTGTTTTCCCTTATCTTTTTTTTTTCCTTCCTTCCCTCCCTCTCACCAAACCTTCCTTCCTAGATTAGCACATAGGTGATTGTAATGAATATTAAAGTAGGTGGAATCTTGAACTTCCTCTAGAGCTATCCCAGATTATATGCACTAAATTTATTCCCTAATAATTTATCATCTCTTTTCCATGTGATAAAAGTTCTAGATAGCACGTTAGTGTATAGTGAGGACTCTTTGATCTTGCTGTTTAGTATTAGTTGAGAGCAAAGCAAGTTAAAATTTAACTGCCTTTGTGGAAGGTAACTAATTCTAATGTAGACGTAGGACTGGAAAGTTGGTAAAAAATGGATTTCTATTAGATGAATCATGTTTTCTAATTTGGAAATGCATTTGGTGGGGACAGGTTTTAGCTGAGAATCTCCATTACAGCACTTCGTATACAGCCAGTCTGTTACAGATCCTGCTTAGGAAGGTGAGAGGCAATCTTCTGATAGAACTTTAGTAGTCACATAAAATACACAAAACTAGACAGTATACCGCACTGTTTTGATGGTTGAATTGTAAGAAGAGGGTTATGCCTTTGGGAGTGGCTTTGTAACACAGTTTGTCCATTCAGTCCCCTTCTCAGGACCTCTCTGCCCCAAGAAAGTAAAACAGAGTTCTGCTCCAACCCAGTCCATTGAGGAGCAGGCCTTCCTCTGCCTCCGTCTTTGCTTTGCCCTTTGTAAAACTCACTGCAGCTTGCACTCCACTTATGCTGTGACAAAACTGTAAATGTCGTGGTGTCCTGAATCCAGTGTCTGTTTTATTTAGTTTATTATAATCTAGCATAGCTCAATGTGGATAGTTGGTGCTCAGTACGTATGGTTAAATCAACGCAGTTCCTGCTGTGCATCAACTGCCTGTACAGTGTTATCGCCACATGTCCCCAAACCACCTACAGCATTTTGTAGAGTTGAAAGTGTGCTGTGAACTTTCAGT